AATAAATCTGTGTCCAATAATTTTGTGTCCAATAATTTGGTGTCGAATCGATCGGTGTCGAATCGTACTGTGGTCAAACGGAACACGCCCGTGTTCGGACACTCAGGGTCCGGCAAGGGGGAGTTGCCGTCCCAGGCTCCCCCCCGTCGTTATCAAGCGATGGGCTACCCGCCATTTGCACCGCAGGGGTGGCAGGCGAAGCTACGTCTGCGAAGACTGCCGACGAGGAGGCAGTCAAAACTGCCAGGAAAGGGCTGTTTGGTTCGGTGGTGGCGCTTTGGCGCATTGAATCAAGCAAGCCCTGCGGTGACGCCGTCCAACGCCCCTCGGAGAGGGAGAGATCGCGCTCTCCCGGGATCTCGGGGATAGTTGGAGACCTTCCATGTTCGGATTCGGACATGGAGGTTGTAGAAGAAGGGACCGACTACCATGTCCCATCCACATCCCGTGGGCGCACCGGAGAAAGGAAACGGGGTCGACCACCAACGACTGGCGAGTATGTCGGTCTAGCGGCGGCAAAAGAGCGCCTAATTGCTGCCAAGAAGGAGGAGCAGCGGCTCAGCATGGAGGAGGAATGCTGGAAGAGCGCCTCCTCCCTGCGCGAGAAGATGAGCTTCACGAAGGCCATTAAAACCAAGGCCGAGATATTTGAGGTCTCAAAAGAGGCTTCGGAGGCTGTACTCAAGGTGGCCACAACATCAAAGAACCTTCAGGGGCGCTATGTGCGTATCCTGAAGGACGCGGCGGCCGCCATGGAGAGGTTGGCAGAGGAAGTAGTCAATCTCCCTCTCAAAGGTGAGGACGAACATCAGCCCTCCCCCCGAGAAGAAGACTCTCGGGTCAGAAAGTTAGAGGAGCGCATGCGGACGCTCGAGACCAAGCTCCGCATGAGCAAGGTGTCGGCGGAACGGGCATCTTCCCAAAATAAAAAGTTGCGGGAGATGCTCGATGTGGCGTACAACAAGGGATTTTCCTTTGTTGGAGCGTCATTGAAGGAGTCCGCCGACTGCGGGGTTCAAGTCGGAGGGGGGGAGACCATCATCCCCCTGGGGGCAATACCATCAAGCCCCCACATGGAGACTCGAGAGGTGCAGACGGGAGAAAGGACTCTGATCCCGGATCCCGCTGCACCCGAAGACGAGGCTCCCGAGGAGCGATGCATCAGGCTCCTCGCGGAGCGGATAGAAAGGAACCTGGAGGGGAAGCTCCTCTCTTCCGTCAGGGGAGAGGTTCGCTCTCTCCTCCAGAAGTTCGTCCCTCTGAAAGGGGACATTGGGACGCGGCCCACATCCACCACGTGGGCCACTGTGGCTGGAAGGCGACGGGGTCGCAAGGGTAAAGGGGGGGAATCTTTTCCTCCCCTACCTCCAACGGCGGGAGTTCCCCCGCCTGTGTCCGCCACTCCGGCGGCGCAGGCTAGAAGGAAGAAGGCCAACGTGGCCTTACTGGGACGGGCCCCCGCGGGCTCGGCGGGCCCTCCCCATCAAGCCGCTCAAATCGAGACGCATGCAGTGCTTCCGCTGCTTCGAGTACGGGCATGTCGCCCGTACTTGCACCGGAGCGGATCGGAGCGCTGCGTGCTATCGATGCGGGAAGTTGGGCCATCGGGCCCTGCTGTGCAGGGCTGACCCCAGGTGTCTCATTTGTGAGAGCCGGGGTCAGCCAAGCAATCACCGGATGGGGGGAGCGCGTTGTTCCCCCTATCCGGAGAAGAAGAAGGGGGGCCTCTCGATATGGAGGTCGCCCCCTCTCCTCGGCACCACTCACGGGTGGTCTGAGTAGAGAGCGAGATCCTCCGAAACGGAGAAAAAAGGCGGAGACCAAGGTCCCTGCTACCGAGGAAGAGAGAGAGGAGCTCTCTTCGGTGGGAGGCGAGGACGGTGAGGGGGTGAACCTCGTCCTCCCCACGGAGGAGGTTGAAGAGGGGCTCGGGCATTTGTGGCCCGAGGATGGGGAGGGCTGGGGTGACCCCGGTCCCTCCTCACGTCCCACTCGCGTGGTTAGGGAGGCGGAAGTCCCCCAACTTATGGAGGTGGAGCCGAACATGTCCTCTTCGGAGGATGAGCGCGAGGAGAGGGGGGAGGAACCATCTTCTCCCCAGCTCTCCAAGGATGGAGGCGGGACCAGGAGTCGTAAGACCCCTGGCCCCCGCCTGTCGAGACGGGCACCATCAAAGGTGCCAGGCTCGGGGGGGAAACTCCACGAAGGAGCCCTCCCCGAAGAGACAGAAGGGAGATAAGCCGCGGCTGTCTCTCCTGCCGTCACACCAACGGCCGGGACCGAAGTCCTCCAAGTCCGACTTTTAGTTGGACTTGGGGGACTAGTTCCCTATGGGGAAACCGGGGTGGGGGGATCATGGCCGGCCATGGTCCCCGGACCCGGGTCCTCCTCCACTAAGGGGGTGGATCCGCTTGGTCAAGGGTTGGGGACCGAGTAATTGTTTGGTCGAAACCCTCCCTGACTTCGGTCACGGAGGGCGGGGACTTGGTTCCGGAAGTTGGGGAACTTTCGGGCCATTGCACAAGTCTCCAGGGTAGGGCACCGGCGAAGGGAGCTATGGCCCTCCCTTCTCGGTGCAGCGGGTAGTATCGCGGATGGGAGCCGAATAGGGTTTGAAGCCTAGGAGGAGTGAGGTGAAGTAATAGCCTCAGGGCTGCCACTCACTCTCCCAAAGGAATTGTGGAGGCCATTGAGAGGTTTTAGTGGGTGAGAGTCCCACACTCCCCGCCCTAAATCCCCAGAGGGCGGGGGTGCATAATGCATTTCCCCTCATAAAAAAAAAAAAAAAAAAAAAGGTTCCTGGGCCCGGGCGATTTTCCTCCACCTTGTCGTGGTGTCCAGGCTTAGGATCTATGATCTGAGGGGCTATGCTGGCGGGGAATCCTTTGATTCCCTGGTAGGGTCACCCATGCTCAGTAAGGCCTTCAGTGAGATCCTGTACTAAGAGGGAGAATAGAGGAAGGAAAACCTCGAACAAAAACCGGGAGCTCCCAGCTTCGCTTAGCACTTTATGCCGGTGCAACTGGGATAGGGGAGAAAACCCTGACTTCAAATCCGGGGCGTCCAACCCCGTCAGCCACGGCGCAATTGGACTAGGGGAGTAAACCCTGACTTCAAATCCGGGGTGTCCAGCTCCGAGAGGCGCGTTCGGGTCGGCCACTGGACTAGGGGAAGGAAAACCCTGATTTCAAACCCGGGCGGGTCGGGCTCGTTAGCCGCGGTTAAGGCAGCTGACCTTTGGAAAGGAGACCCTGAGGAAAAACCCAATGATGATACGGCACATGAAATGGCTTTAGTAGAGAGATCCCCACCCCGAGGACGTCGGAATCCTCGGGACCGGCGAGAGAGTGGTGTTGTCCCGGCTACTCTCTTGTCGACATCAAGCGACGGGCCGTCTGCAGCGTTGACTGCGAGCGCAGACAGAATTGCTATCGCTGAAAAACACTTTGCTAGCACTAGTAGTGCCGTAAGTGCCATGGCGTCTGAACATGGCGGTGTTGGGGCCAATCAAGCTTGTGTAGACGGCCAGACGGGTGCGTCTCGCAGAATATCTTTTGAGGAGGAGTCGGATGTTTCGTCTGAGAGAGAAAGAAGGATGAATTTAAGGGACCCTGATGCGTTACTCGAGCTTAGTGATGATGTGTTTGAGACGCCTCTAAACGAGATGGAAGTTCGACGAGAGGTAAACATGTCTAAAATCCGACGGGTGCTATCTGGTAATTCTGGAAAACGGCTTAAGCGAAAAGCAAGTGATAAAATTTCCCCCAGGTCTGAGACTTATGATAGCAGCCGGTACCAGTCTCCTAGAATTGTGGCGGCTACAATTGAGGATAATGCCGACATGATCGACAACGCCAGGAAGAAAAGTAAAAACTTGAATGGGGCGTTGTCTCATACAATTAAGGTAGGTGTGGAGAAGATAAAGATTGCTGCAGCGGACCTTGCCACCCGCTGCGAACTCACTGGTGATCCCTGCTACTTGCATTTACGAGAGGCAGAATTGATGCGAGACACAAAAGATCTGAAAGCGGAGAATAAAATGCTGCGAAATCAAATGGAAGCTCTAAGACGTGAATTCCGTCAGTTCAAACAGGATGTACATGATGGAAAAATCGGTACTGGACTGAAACCCCCCCCGAGCTCCATCAGTAGACAAACGAGAGACATGGCTACGTCCCCTCTAGATGCTGCTCAAGGTTTAGCTACGTCCCTTCCACGTGGCAGTCGGTCTCCAAAGTGGACTCTAGTAAGCCAGCCAGAAGTGGCATAATGATACAGCCTGCGGCAGATGGTCGATATAGAGACGCGCATAAACTTTCCCTTACTTATGATGACCATAGAAGCTTAGCTCGGATGAAAGAAGCTAAATTGGCTAGTAAGCGGGCAAGCAAACGGACCCCTAGATTAAGAGGGAGGCAGAGAGGACGTTTTCTCGCTGAAGAGGAAGCCAGTGAAAGAGAGAGAGATTCTCAGACTGTATCTGAGATATCAAAAACTCCTCGCGATCGGAGAAGACGGAACAGAAAGAGGTTGGCGTCTGAGGAAGAAAAGAGAGTCTCGGATTCTTTGGTCACCCCCAGTGACACTGAATGGTCTACTGTGGTTTCCCGAAGACGCAGGCGTAGACAACCACAAGGACAGAAAAAGACAAAAGAGAGTGCCTTCACTCAGGGACCTTTCCGTAGGTTGCCTAAAAATCAGCGTTTGCTGCGTGTTCGCTCTCCTCGCTCTGCAGCAGTAGCCATCAGGATTCCGGATGGTAAGACTTCGTACGCTGACATCATGAGAAAAGCAAGAAGGGAAATTGACCTGGATGGTCTTGAATTTGGTGACACCAGAATTAAGAAGGATGCTTCTGGAGGGCTTCTGGTTCAGATCCCCGGTAAAGACGGAAAAGAAAAAGCAAGGCAGCTTCAGTCCAAGCTTCAGGAAGTTTTAGGACAAGAAGCGCGTGTCACAATTCCGTCTAAACGAGCTGAAGTAAGGATCACTGGATTTGATGATTCAGTTGCGGACAGTGAAATCCTTGATAGGATATCAGAAATCGGGGGTTGCTCCAGGAGTGATATTAAGATGGGCCAACTCCGGTTACTGACTAGTGGACTTTATGCTGTATGGGTACAGTGTCCAGTAGATGCGATCCAGTCTTTGGTTAAGGCAGGTCGAATCAGATTAGGGTGGACATCTGCTAGAGTCGTGCTGCTCCCTCCGAGAAGGCTGCAATGCTACAAATGCTTAGAGTTTGNGCATGTTAGGGCGTCGTGCCCGAGCAGTGATGATAGGAGCGGCCTGTGCTACAGGTGTGGCGAAGCTGGACACAAGGCAGCAGTGTGCTCTAATAGAGTGCAATGCCCGGTGTGTACGTCCCGTGGATTGACGGCTGACCATCGGGTGGGATCTGACAAGTGCTCCGCTAAGAGAATAAACCCACTGGTGGGGCGTNTCCCTACTGAAATTAAGGACGGCCGGAATCAACAGCCTAGGAATAGGCATGGAATAAGCAGTGCTAG